TTTGATGCATCTGCGAAAAATTCAGAATTCACTTCCTTGAACGAAATTTTGCATGTTGGTCCTAATTACAAACCGACATTTGTTCAATCCTTCTAAATTTTCGTTTCGGGCCTATAGCATTAACAGCTGATATCAAAACAAATGTATCGTAATATTTGGGTTCGTAAACAAGATAGAAATATCAAAAAATCTTATGGAGACCGTTTCCCGATGCACCCATTGGCATCTATGAATTAATACCTAAACTTTTGGTCTATCATCATCTCCCTTTCAAGCTATCAGAACCATCAAAAACTATCCCGAGACGAATGTTCCAAATATTCTCAATCTATTTCTAGAATTCTTGAGAACGATGTCTATATTGATGATGTGGTTACAAGTATCGACTCCTTGGATAGCGCTAAAACCATTTGCGAGGGTTTGCAGACTGTATATCGTCTGGTGGTTTTGAATTAAAAAAGTGGGAATCTAATAATTCTAATCTGCGTAAACTTTTTTCTGATTCTGATGTACAAATAACATTTCTCTAAATCGGATTTTCAATGGAATCTTCTACAAAGGTATTGGGATTAAAATGGGATCCCTTATCAGATAATTTTTCATTCGAAATAAAGCTTACGTGGAGAAAATGGACAAAGAGACAACTTCTTTCAGTAATAGCGCGAATCTGGGATCCTCTGGGTTTCCTACTCCGATAGTTGTTAAGATAAAAATATTATTGAAAAAAATTTGGACATTAAAATCGATTGGGATGAGGAATTACCATCATTTATTATTACATCATGGTTAGCCGTATATTCCGAATTAGAGCATCTTAATAACTATCAGATTCCGCGTTATCTCGAAACATCAAAACAAAACAAATGTTCATTATTTGGTTTCGCGGATAGTTCAGAGCAAGCGTATGGAGCGGTGTAGTTTATATTAAATCTCTTGGCAATCCGAATTTCTTGTTGATTTCAAAATCGCGGTGTAACACCGATTAAAAACCAACATAGCCAGGCTTGAACTTTGTGCCTGTCATTTACTGTCAAAACTTCTGAATTTTATATTAACGAATAACCAACATAGTATAGATTTTGATTCATTATGTTTCTTTTTTTCCGATTCTATGATTGTCCTTCACTGGTTAGCAGGACCGGCTACTCGTTGGAAAACATTTGTAGCCAATAGGGTAACAAAAATACGGGATCTCATTCCTAATGCACAATGGCTTCACATTCCTTCTAATCAAAATGCAGCCGATTGTGTTTTCTCGAGGTCTTCGACCTAAGGATTTTATCCAACATAAGAATTGGTTGTTTGGCCGGATTGGGTGAATGGTCCTATATCAACTTGGCCTGCAAAACGGTTGAACCTTCCGGAGATATTGATCAAGAAAGAAAAGCTAACGCTCTAATAGTAAAGAGTGTCATACCACCGATCAATCCTTTATATGAATTAACGCAAAAAATTTCTAATTGGTGCAAACTTGTAAGAATTTTCGCTTATATATTGAAGTTTTGTAAAATTATAACAAATCGAAACCGACTTTTGACTTCAGATTTGAAACAGCCGAGGTTATATATTATTCGATTTAGTCCAAGAACATCATTTTCCCGAAGAATTCAAACTATTAACGAACGGAAAGTCTTGTTCGAAGAAGTTTTGCCGACTAAATGTGGTTTTGGATTCTAATAATTGTTTACGCGTTAAAGGTAATTAGGATTAACAACTAATAACAATCCACTTCTTTTGCCAAAAAAAGACCAAGTAGTAAATTGTCTCATAGATTACTACCATATTAATAATTTACATACTGGATCAAACTTAGTATTATCTTTATTGAGGCAAAATATTGGATCTTGTCGGCTCGTGCAATAATTCGCAATCGTCTTAACAAGTGTATAACTTGTTTTCGACAGAATCCGAAACCCATTTTTCCATTCATGGGCGACTTACCAGTACCGCGCATAACAGCCAGTAGAGCTTTCCTAAACGTCGGCGTTGATTATGCAGGCCCCTTCAATATCTCCATGAGTCGTCACAGAGGCGCTCGAACCTACAAGGCTTATATATGCTTGTTCATCTGTTTAGCCACTAAGGCGATACATCTCGAATTAGCTTCAGATTTAACAAGCGATACATTTTTAGATTGCTTGAAACGATCCCTAGCCCGGCGTGGTCCTATTAAATGTATTTACTCCGATTGTGGAACCAATTTTATAGGAGCCAAAAATACTCTTGATTCCTTATTCCTTCTCCTAAATTCCGAAGAGTATAAAAAGCGTTTCAATGAATTATTGGTTTTAACATGACATTGAATGGAAATTTAATCCACCGTTTGCCCCACATTTTGGAGGTATATGGGAGGCGAATATTAAATCAGTGAAGACCCATTTTTTAAGTTATAGGGTTGCAAAATTTTATCCTACGAAGAGTTTATACAGTCCTCAATCAAATCGAAGCCTTACTGAATCAAGACCGTTATGTTGGCTGAGCAATGATCCGTCGGACCCTCAGCTCTTACGCCTGGCGCACTTTTTAATGCAAGAGCCTCTGTCGGATTTGCCCGTTGACTATGAAAACTTGAATTTGACTAAAAGAAAACAATTGCAGTCATAATTGTCGCTTCTTACTGGAAGCGATGGAATGTGGAATTCTGACCGAGCTACAGGTCCGACAGAAATGGAATACAGTCCTAATCCTATTAAAAAGGGTGATTTGGTAGTTGTAAAACAAGAGAATGCGCGTCCGCTCCATTGGGGGTTGGGAAGAGTTGAAGAGGTTTTTCCGGGCTCCGATGGAGTGGTTCGAGTAGCATTGGTAAAAACGGGAAATACCCTAATCAAGCGGCCTGTTGTCAAACTATGCCCCCTACCTATTCAATAGTTTATATCTCTGAATTATTCATTTCAAAAAAAAAAACTTTTCTATCTCATGATATATTTGCTTCTATATATAGTTTTGCCAAATTTTCAATCTTCAGGGCGATGAGAAACCCCTCATAGTCTCTGGAAGATTCTTGTAAATGTCCAAAAAATCTAGACCCTGGCGCGAAAATAAAACTTCCGCAATCTAGATCGTGTGAATGTGGTAGGTCGTGAGAGGGGGACCCTGGCGCGAGGTCAGGCTTCCGTAACCGATCTACTCTGAATGAAAGTTTGAATTTATTTTTGGCAATTCTATCCTTCCTAATCATGAGGTTCACTATGTACCATTTCGAGTATTTTCAGAAGTATAAAAGGCTAACCTTTTAGTCGGGGGAAAATGTTTGCGCCGCACCTGTGTAGGTTGTCGGACCTGTAAAAGGTTTGTTTTTCTACTCGGACAATACGTTTCAAATTTAGCAATCGGGCAATTCTGACTCATAAAAAGGCTGATGCAGGCAATAGTTTTTGGCATTCAATCAATTCATTCCGCGCCTTTCATTCGTTCAGTTACTTTCAGTTCCTTACAGTGTTCGAGTTGATTTATTCCGTGGTTTTCATTCATTTGGTTTAATTCATTCATTCAGTTACTTGCAATCAATACATTCAGTTCCTTTCAGTGTTTGTTATCAGTTCAATATTATCATGGATTAATTTCTATTGTGTGTCAAGTCAACAGTTATTTTTATTTGTCAGTGTATTCGAATTCTTTTCAACCTATCCAACGACTACGCTGATGTTTCCAGATCCAACCAAATAGCTGCCGCGGCTTGGACTTCCAAACAGATAACATTTTCATACAATATTAATTAGTGTTCATTTTGTTTTCATTTATATAAAATTTATATAGAATATATTTTAGTTTATTATTGATTACGGATGTAAGAGAACTTTATTTTTAATTTATTGTTTACCATTGGTTTTTGTTTTCTGAATACATTTAATTTTTGTTATTTCCTCGAAGTATAAATACTTCGAAAGGGGTTTGAGAAACCCCCCAACATCAACACTTTTTTTATTATTAATTGCATTCTTGTCGTTGGTGGTAGTTATACAAGTTTTACATTTAACGTAGCAGCACCAATGATAACACAGTGACATCTTTCAATTTTCTCCTCAACAACCGTATTGTAGCCACGACCACAACACAATGGTGGCAACTGCCAACACTAAGTCCTGTAACACCCACCGAACAGGTCCTGGAAAAGGATATAATATAATAAGAATATATTAAAATATTTCAATCACTTTGGAAAATGTTTTTCATAAGGCAAATAACAAATTTAGACCAAAATCTCAAAGAAACATATTATAGTACTAATTATTTCAACCTCTCAATCCTCCTTCTACATGATCATATAATAAATGAAAATATCTTATTTACCTTCCTTTTGGTACCAAAACTTCCTGCAGATAAATCTTCTTCACAATAATCAGGACTTTTTGTCAAATAAATAAGTTGATTAGACATCGGCGCTGTAACTACTGGTGCCACACCAGATAACTGTGTAGCTAAAATAAAATATTTCATCTAAATAAATCCGAATTATTTTTTCAATATTATTACCTACTTGTTCCCAATCGACGTGGAGCAACTTCCACAGCCTGATCCATTTTCCTCAAGAGCTTTTGACCGGTGACTGTTAAAGCTTCCAGAGCTTTCCAACATGTTTTCACACTACAAGAACCGGACACTCCATGGCATTTACAAGTAATTGCTTGGGATTGCTGAACAACCTAAATAAAAAATAAATTATATTGATTTTTATAGTGAATATAACTTGAATTACAATGAATTACTTTTCGGCCTATCCTGTTGTTATGAAGATTCATTGCGGCTAGCCTTGTGTGAAATTTGATCATGTCGGGATCTGCTTGTAATTTTCGTTTTTTGGCGATCGTTTTTATTACAGCATTTTTAGTTGCTTGGTCGAACAATTTATTTTTGAGCAGCAGTTTCTTCATCAGTCATTTTGCCAAATCTGGAGTAATAATGTAATATATAAAAAATTAAAATAATACTATGTTAATTGTTTAAGCATATAATTTAAGCTCAAAATTGGATAAAAAGTTAAAATTTGGCTCATATCACTTACACACACACATGGATACAAACAAACATACATTCTTTAAATTTTGGTCTCAAACTTCAAAGTCAAGAAAACATAAAATTAGCAAAACGGACTTTCAGACTAAAACAAATTTCACTTGTAAAATTTAATAAAATTCTTACTTGTCTTTAAACGGCGTAGATTTACCATCTTTCAACTTCCTCTGCCTTCTCCTCCGACGTCTTCTTCTTTCATGAAGAACACTGGCAGTTACATGAGTTCTTTCAGTGGCATCCAAAAATCTTTTGGCAAACAAAGATCCCCAACGGACATTGTCGGAACAACCGCCCCACTTAAAATTACCACCTGGTGGTTCACCTGGAGGTGGTGCACAGGAGCAGTGAAAAAGCTCACCTGCTGCGCAGGCACGAGCTATTGCTAATGTAACTGCTGCTGATCCTAAGGCGTACATGAATGCCTGCTCCCTTGTACCTAGAAAATAAAAAAAGTAGAAAAATTTGGTTTCCAAAATTCTGATGGTTTTTCAGATTATTAAAATATAAAGCTACCAAGTTTTCAAACGATTTTCTGAATTTTCTAACACTCCTCTAACAATGATTCCACGTAGATGTTTTTGCTCTAGGTTTCAACATAACAATATAATTTTTAATTATATAGGATCAAATATTAATTTCACAAGCGTGGAATAATTATAAATAAATTATTTATTATGTAATATTACTACCTACAAGAATTGTACAAAAATTATTCCATTCCGGTATCATCTACTTGTCTATTTACCTATATCACCACGCTAGCAATTTCATTAATAATAAACAAGATAGCTCTCTCGCCAAGTTTTTGTAGAATTAGTAGGATAAACTATCAAAAATTCATGAAAAACCATATTTCAAGAGAAAGGTCTTGGTAACTTAAGCAACTGTGAAAATTGCTTTTCTGCATGAAAAATTATTTACTACAAAAAATGTAGAAAGGTTTGAGCAAGTGTCCGAAACAATTTGAAGTTGATGTGGAAAAGTGAAATAAAAATAAAATAATAATCGTCACTAATATCAAGTTTGCCACGTTCCAAATGGTGAACCAAAATTTATATTGTCACTAAATAGTTATTCAAAAATCTGTATTCAGCACAATCTATCAACTACATTTATCGGTTTCATACATATGTATATACTATATATATATATATATATATATATATATATATATATATATATATATATTATGTAGTGTGTGTTATATATATACTACCCAAGTTTTCTTAAATTAGCCCACGCCTTCTTTTATATTTTGCTGAGGCAGTTAATTAAATAAAAATGTGAATTTATAGCCATCGATCATTGTTTTCTTAATAACCTTCTTTCATATTATACGTCTTTAAAACTTTGTGTGTAAACATGATTTAATAATTCATTTCAAAAGTTTTTCAGACTATCATTTATAACAATTTTTACGTCTGCAACAAGCCACCTTGCATCACATGCAACTTTAGTTGAGCTTTTAAATATGTTTTGCATGGAAGTAATGAATAGTTGGGAAGGCTGGTGGAAAATTAGCTAAGAAATAAAAAACTACAGAAATAAAATATTGTTAATACAGTTAATTGGATAATTTCTCAACATAAACTATACAAGGTAACATGTTGCAAAATTATGGAATTAACCTCATAATTCTAATAAAAAGACTTTTTGTTGTGTTCCTCTTTTAATTGAAACTATTTAGAAGTGTTTTATCGATTCAGCGTTTTTTGATATGTTATGATTTTTGACCTCTATTGTACGTTTAAGGTTGTTTCCAATATTTCACTATTTTCGAAATATTAATTTTGTTTTGTTATTAATGAATACAGAAAGTGCTACAAACTGTAAAAACATGATACTATTCTCAATTTATATAAATAAATTCGTAAATAGATGGTTTGGGCTTTTCTTCTATGCTGGCATACCATAGAATAATAAATTTGTATCTTGATTATGCTTACAATGTTTGCACAAATTCCGTGTGGGATATATACTTTTAGAATATATTATGTAGAAAAACTGTCCAAGTGAACATGTCACCTATAATTGCAGTATATCGCATAATTTATATCTAAGCATGTATAGACAATCATAGGCCTGTGGCCAAAAACCAACTTAACTAGGCGGAATTGTTTTTCCACTGATATTTTTAACTTCCCGTAGGGTAAGTTATTGTAATCATCCAAAAATCGAAATTGAAAATTTTTGTATTTCTCGACGTTTTGAAGGTTTCTGAACATTTTGGCATACCTCAGAAAAATGGATGTATGAGTGTGTGTGTGTTTTGTGTGTCCGCATTTTTGAGTTTATGATTTTACACATTCTGCATGTCAATGCTAACCAGAACAAGTAATATATTTTTTCAAATCAGTGTTTATTCCGACATTTCTAAATTTATATATGTGATCAAAAACTTTTCCGCAAACCACGTGTATCCCTAGTGTAAAATATATAATAAACTTTGGAAATTTATCACAGTTTATTCTGCCCGAAGGTACATATTTGCACCATCTGCATATGTGGGAGTGTTGTATGCAATAACCGACTCAAAATGTTGTATGTTGCTGGATATTGTATTTATATTATCGCAAGCAAAAATCTCTCACAAGCATTAAGTTTGAAACTAATCGAATTCTTGCTCCAGTTCACACCGAAGATATATGACTAAAAAAGAAAAAGGGAGAAAAATAATTGAAATTTTAAGTATATCACCGGAAAAATGACTAATTAATTTGCGAGAATTTGGAAAGTGATTTTATTCTTGGAATAAGTTTCAGATTGACTACAAATCATAATATGTTCTTTCCTGTCTTTTATCACTTAGTACTTTTGATGCAGTAATTAAATATTTGTTAAAATTACTGTTTTTTTAAATACTACTATGCATAATAATGCTTAATCATAAATGAAGTTTTTGTTGATGTTTTTCCAAATTAATGCTAATATTATTACTTCAAAAAAATGTTATTTATGCTAGATAATAGATGCATTTTATAAATCTTGTTTTATACACTGATTTCATTGTTTAATTTCAGATTTTTCAATCTTTTTGTTTAAATTTATATTATTAATAATGTGAATAAAATATTTCACATTTTAAGAAAAAAACTTATGTTCAAAACGTTCAAATGCAACTAAAAATATTTGAATTTTACATATTGATACAAAGGTTTTTAAATTATTATTTTATCATTTAACTATGTTCATTAAAGAAATATATTAATACATTAGGCATTTTTTAATTTTTACATCTCTGTCAAGGTAAAAGTTCAGTTGGTTCTTTATACCTCACCTAGGTGTAATAACGTTTACTTAAAAAAATCATATTAACGTTTCGTAAACCGAGCAACAGTGCTCACAACCGAAAAAACTAACAAGGGAAGAAAATACATTTTCTATGAGTTTTCAAACGTTGCCGTTTTTCTCCCGATGGCAACGTCGAAAAAATCAAAGTGGTGAATGGTTTAACATCTTTTTCCCTCTACTTTCAAATATTGTTGTTCAAAAATTCTTAACTTTACTGATTTTTAAAATGGCGGTGTAAAAGACCTTTTTACCCGCCCGCCTACCCTATTTTATTTATACTTTACCTCTAGCAAGATCAGGTCCTAGAACAGGAGCATTAAGAGCACTGGAGCAATTCCATCTCCTATCCTCCAAAAGTGTAGAGCAGGCTTCCAATGTCAAGTGGGCCGCTCTGGCCACATGGGGCATTGTGTCCAGGGCAGCTAGGCAGAGAGCGGTCTGACGCGGCGACATGCCCAAGGCCTGCCTGCAGGCCGAACCCTCATCGAAAGATTCGGGGGAAAAATGTTTCAAACCTCTGGTAAAAGATAGTAGGAATTAGTATAAAAAAAATTATTAACTAATTTAGTTTTTATAGATTTATTTCATAGTCATTACAATCGAGACATGAAAATAGAGTTATTAAAAAAATAATAAATTCTGCTAAACAAAATTTGTTAATTAAAATTTCTATAAAATATCTGATAATTAGATGTACATATGACGTAACGATTATTTTTAACCGCAAAATAATTTTGTTTAAACTTTCTTTATTGGTTCTACAAGGCTGCTGGTCCAGCCTTTCCAAAAATTCATTCCGTCAATACAAATGAGATGTTTTGTGAATCATTCAAATCAGACGGTTCTCTTAAAAACTGAATTGCCATTTTTGCACTTTTTACACCGCAGCTTTAAAATTGGCTGGATCTGCCTATGCCCAAAACTAAGCAGCACGTTTCCCCATCAGTAGGAATCAAATATTTTTTAAATCAATTAAATCGGTTGATCCGTGCTCCGGAAATTACGAACAAAAATTGTATCCGCATACATATACATTCATTTTTAGTAAGGACTAGAAAGGTAAATTTATGTAAAAAATCTATTTAGATTTTTTTGCGATTACTATAACTTACATTAACAATAAAATAAGTAAAAATTATAAAATTGTTAAATATTTACTTGAATCTACATTCTTCTTTATTGAACATACGCCTAAAACTAAAAACGCCAGATATCCAAGTAAATTTTTACTATCTATGAAAGTAGAACTCTTACTGTTTCTGTGGAGTAATTCATGGTTGCTGAGATTAAAATTTATATTTAAATTTTAGATACAAGATTAAATTTAGTAATTACAGAAAATAAATAATCTTAATTGAATTAATTACTAAAACAATATTACACCTAACATTAGTATTATGTAATGCAATAACTCGAAGAAAAATTGTTATAATTTTGAGATATTGAAATGTTTGAAGCTTGTAAATCTTGAAATTCTTCTCATGGTGAAAAATTTAAGATATGCTCTGATCATCTGAAAAATTGCGAACCCTGATTTCTGATTTATATAAAGATGATTATACACATTAATACACAAAATTTTCTACTGATGAAGAGAATTCTCATCGATCTCAGTTATCTAGTTAATTAGTACAATTGCAGTTTCAAATTGAAGATTTGTGAATCAGATATCTTCACTTAAAAAAGGATTTTGTTATCTTTTGTTATCTTTTGTTATCTTTCCATTTTTAACCGGACAACAAACGAATTCTGAATATCAGGAAGGTATTCATTTTTCGGTTTTTAATTAACGTAATCCTGCTTTGAGTATGGCATCGGCATGGCATGTCGAATCGTAAATTATCAATATTCTTTTCATGGCTGTTACCGTTGGCGTAATTTATGAATTGTAAAGTTGTAATTTATAAATATTAAGAGGTACAACTGGCGTGGCGAATCCGTGGATTATCGGACGAGTATTATTCCTATATTCTCGGTGAAAATACTCGTGGGATCCGCAACGAACCAGTTGGATTTAATTAATATAAATTTATAGTAACGGAAAATAATTTATTTTGCTGAGATTTTTTACTGATATAATATTTATAATAACGTAATATTTTATAATTAAGCATATGTAGTTGGTTTTAGTACTTACGTTGTACTTGGTTTTACGCAAATGTTACTTCGTTTATAACTTGAATTTTTCGTCCACTTTCGTAGAATTTTTTTGACGATTTTTATAACAATAGATTTTATAGGTTAAATTAACATACTAAAATATTACAGTCCTCCGATAAGCGCTTAAAATATAAAAATTTATCAAAGTTTAGAATTTTCCGCACTTTTGTGTAGATTCTAATCAGAATCTAACATTCGTATTTCGTTCACGGGAATTGAATGAAAAGAAATGTGTTAAACAAATTAATTAAATTTATGCAAATAGATGAAAATTATGTTAAACTAGTGGGGTGTATGGCATCGTGCCTTATGGCAAATTGCTGGAACTTCCCGTACCGTAACGAAATGTTCGAGGAATAGATTATTATAAATATTGTAACATTGTATAATATTTATAAAAATTATATAAACTGAATTCTAAAGTTAAAATTATTTGTTTAAAGTATGTTAGAACTTTAGTCAGAATTATAAATAAAATCTGAATTATTTTCGACAAAAAAAAAATTTTCCTGAAAAACAAATTATTTTGTAAAACAAGCAGAAAGTTCTTTGAATCGGACGCTTAGTTCCCTCCAAAACTGCCATTTTTTGCAGATTTAGCTCTGTATCTTTGAAATGGCTGGGCCTGCCTTTGCCAAAAACTAATAAACACTTTTCCCAATCATTACTAATAGAATGTTTTTTAGATAATTCAAATCGGATACTCCCTTCTCTCAAAAACTCGATTTCCCTTTTTGCACTCATTGCTCTTCATATCCGTGACTGCTGGACCTGCCTTTGCCAAAAACTAATCAACACATTTCCTCAATCCTTATCAATAGGAATCGAATGTTTTTTGAACCATTCAAATCGATTGATCTGTGAGCCCGAAAACGTGACTGGAAAATTGTATCCATACATACATACACACACACATCTATTTTTTCAGAGGTATGCCAAAACGTTCAGAAGCCTTCAAAACGTGAAGAAATGTGAAAAATTTCAATTTCGATTTTTGAACGATTACAATAACTTACCCTACGGGAAGTTAATAAATTCATTACATTTATACAATTATAGATATCATAGGTGAGTTTGAAGAACATCATTTGGAAATTGCATTGATTAGTTTTCACTAAAAATCGCCCAGGATGTTTCGTCGCAATTAAAAGTTGAGAAAAAAATTTTCAGGCTATTTTCATGAAACTTTGTATAACGACAGATGTTGCAGGTTAAATTAACATACTAAAATATTATAGGCTTACGATAAGCGGTTGTATTATAAAAAATCATCAAAGTTTAGGTTGTGACATAGAATTTTAATCAAAATGAATTAGAATAAAACAAATGAACGCTCTGTGTTTTGTTGGCAGTAAAAATCAAAGTTCGAAACTAAAAATGCTTTTACCATTTTACCATTACTACTGGTTCCCTGTCTAAAGCATTTGTCCATTGTCATCATCATCAAGACACCTAAAACTGTATTTCCGCTCAACTTAAAATGGTCCAGTGGATTAAATGAATATGAATGAACAAGAATGTACGAGATATCAGTCTCTTAATTCGCATACAGACAGACGGGGACTTAATTATGCAATATGAGTGTTTATTAAACCCAGAAATTTTTACTAGAGCGATGTCAGTTTCCTTTAGGAATTACGTGGGATGATTACAATCTATTAGCCAGACCGGATAATGTAAATGAACTCTTTAAGAATATGTTTAATCCTGGGATTATTAGAAGAAAAAGTGGTATACTTCGTCAAGTAGGAGTAGACAGATGTTGGGTATTATTTAGAGTTTATAAATGACGCAGTGGTTTATCCTTGCATAAGTTTTCAATTATATGGTCGATATTTATATAATCGGAAATTAATTTCTTACACGTTACACTTCTATTTTGCTTTTAATAAGAAAATATTCCTCAATAAGTTTGATGAATTAAAAAATTAAAAACCATGGCATCAACTTTTAATATTAATTGCATACTTAATTTGCATATATAGAACTACCCTTAAAATGTACGTTCTCTATTGATTTAATATCATTTTGTATTTGTTTTTAAATAAAATTAATATTCTCAAAAATTCTCTATTACTGCAAATATTGCTTCAGAATTGATATTTGTTTATAAGATTAAACAAATATATATAGAATGATTTTGAAAAAAAATGATTAAAATAATAACGCTTAAGTTAGTAATATTTTTTTCAATTAAATTGTTAATTTAAGTATTTATTGTTTTAGTTAATATATTCATAAAAAGTCTATAATTGTAAAAGTTGTTTTAAAATTAATACTTGTCCATAGGATTAAAAAACTTAGAATGCTGACCTAAAATAATTTAATTATATTAATGGTAATTAAATTAATAATTTTTTTTTTTAATTTTCTTGTTATTGTTATTATATATAAAAAATTCTCTATCTGCAGATGTTGTTTTAAAATTAATACTGTACTATATGAGTGAATTAAGAAAATAATGACATAAATTAATTAAAACAATGGACCTTTTTGTATAAATATTAAAATTGAACCTAATATAAAAATTTAAATTAAAGATAAATAAATAAATATCTAACCAGAGTTGCCAAATATCTGAAATCAGTCAAATAGTTCTCTGTTTTTAAGTTTTGATGACAATTTAATAAAAATTCATAAATTTAAGTACAAATTATAAAAACATAGTTTTTCCTTCTAAAACATTTTTAAATGGCCATACGATTTTAAATAAAATGTCAGAAAATAAAAAAGAGATATTTCATAGGAGATAATGTATTAAATGCATTTACTCTCAGCAAATTGTCTTAAAAAATGTATATAATTCGATTGGCAATAAAACCATGCAAAAAAAAAACATTTTTAATAATTTATAGTAATTTATAATATAATTTTTCACAATAATTATTAATTTAAATGTCTAAAAGCTTGCAAATAATATATATGTACCAATAATATTCATTAGCCATATAATGTATTCTGAATAATTTATTTTCTGATGGTTTAAGTTTTTTTTATTTGAAAGTTTGTAACAGTTTTCTTTGTCTTATATAATATGATTTACTATACTAAATATTATGAATTTTCTTTTAGAAATATTATATATTGTCACGCAATACTGCGGAAACTGCATTGCAATGAAAATAAATTTTCAATATTTTGCATACATTGTTGGCTTTGAGATATATCGTTTTGAATGCGAAAACTGAGATAATAATCTGTAACTATTATATATATATATATATATATATATATATATATTGCAGATATTTCCTGTTCAGATTTAGTGTAAATATTTAGCATATTATTTAACATTTTGCTCAAACATAATCCCATCGTCTTTGCATATATTATACAAAAACCTTTCCTTTCTCGCATCTTGAACTATAATATCGCGGCTATTTCAGATATTTTAGTTATACCACGTCATAATTTAACATCAAACGTCAAAGTGCAGCGTCAAAGGCTT